AACACAATTTGAACACAAGACATTTGTCCTGTGCTGATGCTGCCCCTTTAGTTAACACACACACAATTTCAGGTCGCGATGGTGGCTTGATTTTATATACTAGTGGATTGCAGGAACACTGTCACTCCTGGGTTGTCTGATAATAATGAGCTCTGGCTGGAGGTCAGAGGAAGCACCACAGAAGTCTCTGTCATGGCGGCCCTTGCTAGCTAAACTCCCACGATGCTCAACCACCTCCTCTGGTTTCTACAGTATCAAACAGACAACAGAAGCTTGTGCAGTCACGGTAAACCCCACCTTCTCCACATGCATTTCAAACAGTGTCCTAATAGAGCTTTACAACAACAGCTGCGACCACCTACACAACATTAAGGCTTTGATGCACCAGTGCAATTTTTTTCCTAATGCATTGCTGAGCTATCCAGTTGTCCAAATGGTATCAGAGTAGGGCTCGTCATTAGCAGATACTGAATATGACATGACTCACAAAGGATCATGGACAAAAAAAAAGAACTCATTGGGACACCCCAAGTTCATGTGGATCAAAAGGAATGTAAAGCATATCACAAAATAATGCAGCAAAATGTATAATTTATTGTGAAAGTAATGTCAAAGACGTCAAACAGTTCTCGCTTTGACCTTTAGGGGGTTTTATCCTATTAAAATTCAATATACTGATTTTTTTTCTTTTTTTTTTAAAACAAAAATAAAATGTATTCAGTGTTTTCAATCACTTACTCTTTATTCTTTCAGTCATGATTAAGTTTGTGTTGATCAAACACATGCTGCAGCTGTTTCAGTCAAAATTTGAAGAGGAAAGGGAAAAGCTACACCCTCTGATCTGCTGAGGGGTTGCACTGTGTCGCACGTCTTTGATGGTAGATCAACAGGGGTCTCAAACATGCAAAGTAGAAATGATTAATGGATACTTTTTTTTCACAACAGCAAAGTCCTGTTACTAATAAAACAGGAGAAATTACAAATACAGTCAAAACTCTAATATAAATCTATTTTAGATAATGACGCTTCTGAAAAGGTTAGTTGTTGCAGATCATTCATGCTACCTGTTGGCTCAACTTTAAATAACAAGCTAATATTAGTTTTTACAAGAGAATCTTTTGTGCTTCTCGCGGTGCTTATATCTGTTTTCTCTTCCCAGAACGAGGAGCCGGTGTTTTCCAGCGACTACAGGACACTGTTCATCACCATGCCCTTAAAACACAGTGACCGCGGGACGTTCAACCACATCACTATGATCTCCAACCAAGTAAAACTTTTAATACATTTAGCTTTCACTCTTTGAATTAAACTTCATGTGCCTGTTTTTTTCCACCCCTTTTGGCTCCCTTATCTGTCCTGCCTACAGGAAAAGGCCTTCCAATTATCCACACAGCCAGCCATTTTTGACGTTTCATCATCATTTTAAATTACACCCTAACTCCATTTCCTGAAACACCAGAGAATTAAGAATGCATCCACTTAAATAAATAAAGGGGAGTGTTGCGCGGCAGATGCCAGATTAATTCATGTTCCTGCGCGGCTAATAAGTGGAGCTAAAGTTTAAGGCTGGAAAGTCAGAGCTTGGTAGAAAAGCCAACACAAGTGGAGCCCCTTCAGGCCACAGAGGGCACGCGAGGTCATGTTAACATGGTTTTCCTTCTCTGCTGTGTTGTGTCTTGTGATTCTCAGTCGGAGGGTCAAGAGGTCACCCTGCGCCACCTGACCTCGGGAAGCTGGGAAGTCTCTCAAATTCTGGCCTACGATGAGAGCAC